GAACCAAAATCGAGCTCTTATTTTGCCTCATATCTTGAAACAGGGATATTACCAAATCAGTTAGTAAACATGAATTTACTACTAAAATAACACATGCTAGCACCAAAGACGGTACTTAGTCATTAATTAGTTTAACGAGGAGATTGAATATCCTATTTAAGAAAACTAAAGCTAGAACATAGGCTATTTCTCTTGATCACAGTTTAAGAAGAAATAAATCACATACCAAAAGTCTTGACAGTGTTTAAAACAGAGTCGCACACAAATGTTATAATTAAGAATGCCCCACTTTGCAAACTTAAGGGTCTAGGAATGTGGATCTTGAAGTTACCATCAATATCTGGAACTTGGACTTTCATTAACTCTGCTTCCTTTGTTACATTGTGATTATTATGTGTATCGCTTTACCTTCTTTACCTGCAGAATACAATAGCAAGCTAAACTCAGAAACGAAGAAAGATAAACATCAAGATAGCGAGAGACAATTTTCTAGGAGTCCTGTACAAAGTTCAAACTGGAATAGGAATTAGATAAGGAGAAACTAATGTTTTAGGTTCTTGTTTTATATTTCACAAGTGTTAAATAATTTTTTCTAGCCAGGACTCATAAGACCGAAAGGGCGCTTCAGGTGTTTAATAGCCCAAAAGAAAATGATAGAGTGCCCAGCTTTATTCTCAGGGTATATAAACACTACAGGGTTTTTAAAAGACAATATTATCCCCTTCTATCTTTTAGACTCCATGAACTACCCCTCACCCTGTGCACTGGCCACTATTGGCACCCTCCTACAGTTGGCAGTTGTCGCTCACTGCCATCTCTAGCACTTCCAAAGTGTATCCACCACATATTCAAAATATTTCCATTCTTAAAATTTCAGAAACTAAAGGAATATAACTCGTGCCTCAGGAATTTCATCTCCTCTCACCTTCACTGGCCTTTTAAAATTCACAGCATAAAAATAACATGGATATCAATTTATAAGAAGACAAAAAGATACTTAGCAATATGTTATGACCCATCCCTAACCAACTGGCAAGAAACCAATAACTTAAATACAATAGGATCAGGTTTACTTTGAGAATAATTTCTATAAATAACAGAAATAGTATGAAAGTAATAAAAAGTAAACTGACAATAATTCCTTCAAGATCCTGAGAAGAATATGCTTGGACAAGTTTCCCCTTCTCTCTTCTCTTATACCTGGAGATATAGAAATCAAAGAAGACAAAAATCATATACCAAGTAATCAAAACATTTACAATTATTTATGGAGGAGTAAGTAAAAGAAATCGATGCTAAATAAAAAACTGACCTTCCTTGTGGTCGAGTCACCTTGACAGCTGTATCATGAGTGTTCTTGGAAGCCTTGTTCTGTTTATCTGCTTCCACTTTCTTTGCTATCAGTTTGTCTTTTTTATCAGCTGTTGTGCAGCCATAATCAATAGTCAACACACTACATTTTATGATATAGACACCAATTCTATTTTACTTCCATTAAAATGTACCTCTATCATTTTTAATTTCAATGGCTCGCTGTCCAGTTATCGAGGCAAGAGCATCAGTTAAATATGAGAATCAGCAATGATGTAGATTATCATCTGACAACAGAAATGAAGTAACTTTACCACTTTCAATTTCTTGAGGATGCCATCAAACTGTGTGGTATCAAACGCCCAAGCATTGGGCTTCTCCGTGCCTATGCCTAGAATATGCTCCAAATAAACATATACATAAAAACCTCTTTCATATATCAGAACCATCGTCCTATTGTATAATTGAAAAGAGATTAAGGAAAGATTGATGCAAAACACATTGCAATTCACATATATTTGAAATTCAAATATGTTAAGTGGGTAAATTATAGAACAAAACCTAAAGTGTCTTGCTTGTTCTCCACCCTGACTTATCCTTTGATCCCTTGCTTTTCTTTCCCAAGCCCTTCTCCTTCTTCCCATCCCTGTCATTTACATCAGAACAATCAAGTTTCATCTCCTTGCACAAAAACACAAAGTCAACAGTCAACATACTCGACCAGAACATTTATACATTACCTTGCACTTCTAAATTTTTCGGGAAAAATATAAAGCAGTAGAAACCAATGTTCCAACATTAAAGAACATAAAAAACCAGGTTGCTTAAATATTTACTCCAGAAAGAAAATGCTTGCAGAGCTCTTCACGGTTACCATGTTCAAGTATAGAAAATGCATTAATGTCTCAAAGAATTTCGCTAAATCCATGTCACGAAATCTATGCCTTCAAATTGGAGCCTGGAATTAGAACTAGTAATGATTGTTT